CGATAAGTCTCAGTAATTGAAAATCAGAGACTTTTATTTTGTAATCAATGTACTTTTTTGGTCATTCGTTTTTAAAAAATTGATGGTTATTATACATTTTTTAAAAATTTCCTCTAGATCCTTATAATGTAAAATTTAAATTATTGATTGCCTTTGAAATCAAAACACAACATTAAAAAAGAAACAGAAAAACTGTGCATCCTTTCAAAATTTTTTCTCAAACTGGATGTTTTAACACCGTCATCGACGCTGTCCTGTAAGGGATTGGTGTGTGGGCAGAGTTTGTCAAAACCGGGATTGGCAAGTTAAAAGATGATGTAATGATAATAGTAAAATTGTGAACCTGTAAATGTAATTTATTGACTTCTTCAAATTTGGTGCAGCACACAACTTCCTGTCTCGAGTTAGGACCAACATTAACATTTATGTTTAGTTATAGGTGTTTTCTGGCCGCACTCACAGCTAGCTGCCTGAATCGTTGTGGCTTTTTCAAACCCCACCCATAAAACTCAATCCGACCAATCACGCCTTCAGCAAACTCCTCCCACAAAACAAGAACCTCCCACTTAGTGACTGCAGAGATCCCCTTCTCCTCAAACTTAGCTAGTTGGTTAGCTTGTAATAAAGTAAAACRTGTTTATTTATCCCATTATCAGACCATTTAAGGTGGAGCTAAAAAAACGTATAATAATCAAAGTCGGCCAATAAATAAATAAATAAATAAATAAATAAATAAATAAATGCTAGCTAACTATTGCTACATGTCTTTAATTAACTGCACTGTATTTTCAATAAATTTAGCTGGTGTAGCTAATTTAAAAAACGTTATTTAACTACCTAGATCAATTTTAGAGAGAAGTAAAAAGACGCACTTTTAAAATTTTTTGCTTACAAATTTTATGTTTTGATTTCAAAGGGAAAAGTTAAATATAATGATGAATAATATGAGCTAATGYTCGGCTGGTGTAATTTTTCCAGCTGAAGGGGAAAGACGATCAAGTCATTGGGCGCATCAGCAAGCAGTGGAGCGGCCTCCTGAAGGAGGTCTTCACCGACACCGACAACTTCGGCATCCAGTTCCCGTTGGACCTGGACGTGAAGATGAAGGCCGTGCTCATGGGCGCTTGCTTCCTCATCGTGAGTTCAACCACCAGCTGCTTATTTTTATTTATTTTGAATCATTTGAGATGTTACGCCGGTGTCATTTCTTCTTATTCTTATTTATTTATTTATTTATTTATTTTTGTCTTTGCAGGACTTCATGTTCTTTGAGAAGGTGGGAGACGCCAACCAGCGCAGCACCGTCTTTTCATAACTGAAGAGAACCAAGGCCCAGGCTCCGCCTCCACTCATTCTCCGTCTGTTTTTTTACTCTTACCATTCTTCAGCTCTTCATCTAGAATCCATAAAGAAAGCCATTTGAGGTCATTAGTTGCTAATTGGATTAAATCATTTAGGAATATCTGTCCAGTCCCAGAAACTGTGCTGAACATTTCAACCTCATGTCGTGTTCGTCCGTTTGTCTCATTATCAATGTTTTATAATCTTCCTATTTTATGAAGCATTTATATYCCGTGTAGTGCAATATTGTTGTGGGTGTAGAAAATGTGTCAGTCGCTTTGTTTTTCAAAGTTTTAGTCGAAGAAGTCAGTTAATGTCTTCAGATTCAGAAAGTGTCCTCYCAAAAATCTTGACTTTTACCAGCTTCGGCTGTTAATTAGCTAATGTTAGCATGTATGCACGCAAATAACTATTAACCTCAACTGCTATATATAAAAAAAAAGAAGAAGGTGTGGTCACAAACTCTGTTCTTATCATCGTGTTTCATCGAGCGGGAAGTGCTAACTAAGTGCTAAGTACTAACAGGAAGTGGTTATGTTGGACAGCTGTGAAGTGTTCACTAAAAACGATCATTCTCTTTCACTCCACTGCCTTAAAATATAAAGCCCCCCACACCCCGGTGGTCCACCAGCCTCTCGGGGTAGTGTCTGGTAAAACTGGTGCAGAGGCTGTAAAGTAAAGATCACATGCTTCTGTGGGGATATAACAGTTGCCGTGGATGCCACTGCCGGAGCGTAACCTCTCTCTTTATTTTTGGTTGTTTTTTCACACCCCAGCAGCACTGTCTGATTTAAATACGGCCAGTTTGAAGATATGAGACAGTCTGACCGATGGGTGAGAGCAGAATAAAGTAAAAAAAAAACTAAAGTTTGAAGAGGAAATAAAAGGTTTTGTTTGTGTTTTCTTTTTAAAGTGGACGTTGAGGTTTGTGAACACTCCAGTGACCTCAGAGGTTTCAAACCAACTCGATTATGAACCTTCAGCTGATTGAGCTTTACCATGTTTTATRTTAATGGAACAAATTTGTGTCAAAGGGGAAATTAAAAAACAATATTCTGCTGAGWTTTTTGTTCGATGAAAAGTTTGCAACTTTTATTACCTTTTTTCTCTGATGTGTAATCTTCATAAACCATAAAAGAAGCCAAAGATTTTTTCATGTTTTATCAGCAGCATCTGATCACTTTTCTACTGTTCATTGTCCTAATTTTGTTTTTTTGTTTTTTTACATAATCGAATGTATTTCAGTAAATAAACTTGTGCCATGTTAAACTTGTGTAATGTTTCGTACAGGAGAGTTAGGGGGTTACCCACATGTGCAACATCTGCTTCCACTTCTGCATCGGGGCGAGGGTGGGGGGGTGGTGATGATGGAAAAATTCAGCTTTTGTCGTTTCGAAGCAGAAAAGAGTCCAAAGTCAGAACAAGAGTTTATAGGTGTGTGTWGGTCAGATTAACCTGGATTAGACGGAACATTTACAGAAAGAAGAGTTTGAGAGGAGCTAAAAGCTGTGTGACTGCTCCCCCTCCTGGGAACTCATCTTACCGATTCTCTCCAGCCAGGGGAACGTCCCGCTGAGAACATGTCGCTCTGCWGAAACTGTTACCGTCACTGAAGCGACATGTAACAAAAACAAAAAGAAGTCACAGATTTTATCTCCAGTTTTAGAAGGATTTGTAGCAGAATAACCAGTTTTTCCTTCACAGCACCTTTTAAAAAGGAATTGAAAGAGGTGTTTGAAGAAATTTCTTTCTTTTTTTAAAGTAAAATGAGGTGAAAAACTTTTTTTCCACCCCCAGCCTTTTTATAGCAGAGGGCCAAAAAACAAACAAACTGAGGTCTAAATGCAGTAATATAACACATGAAAAGCAAAATCCTATTTTTTTTTCTGACAATTAAAGGCACAGTGTGTAGGATTTGTTGTTTTCAGCGACATCTAGTGGTTGAGTGGTTGA